TCCCGTTGTACATCCAGCCACCATTACAAGTAACTTGCTATCTGTCACTGCAAATATGCCATCTACCTTCGCAGATCTGTCCATTACTGGTGAAAATGCCATTTTTTTATCAAAATGCCAACATGAATTAAGAATTCCATTTTAATGGCATTTTAAGAGAAAGTAACAAATTTTTGTAGATTAAGAATGTCATTTTGATGGCATTTTCATAGTTTAACTTGACATTTTGACCAATGAAAGAACAAACGAAGGTACAAAATAGAAGAGAGGAAGAAGGACTAGGAGAACAGTCGGAGGAGAGAAGATGACGATTGGAGAAGAGAAGATGATCTCCGCCGGCGACAGTGGTCGACTTCACGACACCGGCAGTGGTCTTCACCATAGTGGCAGCGATGACTATGATTTGGCTTCATGGTTTGGTTGCTCCAGTTCGAAGGGGAGGAGAAGAGGCGTAGTGGGAGTCTGGGAGAGGAAGTGCGTAGTAGGGGGAGAAGAAAGAGAGGCGCAGAGTTGGAGTTGGTCGATGTTTATCGTGCGGCTAAGAAAAGAGAGAAAATAAGGGGTAAATGGGTAATTCAGTCCCATTTAGGGAATAAATTTTTACATGGTCCTATTTTGGAATTTCAGGAACAATCTAGTCCTAATTAGGGTAATTAGTCTAAAGAAAAACATTATATCAAATGTAGCTAAAAATGATCACTTACAATAACTTCCCCAATTCAGAGAGCAAAATAGATCTAAAAATGTCTATAAATAATTTTAAGCATAATTATAGAGACTGTTAATAAATTATTTTTTTATATATTCAATATTGATCTCATATGAAAGATCACAAAAATTTATGAATTTTGATATATTTTTTGTAAAAATCGGATTAAAAATGAAAAAATTATAACACTTTAAAGAAAATTGGGTTTTTTTATAGCTTGGGCCCCACCAATTGGATCTCTTACGGGCTTACGGCTGCTCCCTTTCTATTCCATTGGAGAAAGTTGGGTAATTTGAAGTAAAAGGCCACGTGACATTGCTATAGCAAAAGAGAGAATTAAGGAGAACCAAACACCTAAGATTCATTAAGGGTAAAAATGTATTTTAATGAGCCTATTCTTTTCTTATATATAAATAGATTCTTTTCTTATATATAAATAGAATAGAAATAGAATAGATAGATATACACACCCTACGTATTTATCAAATCAAAATATAATATACTCCGTATATTATAGTGTTCCTTTCAAAAAAAAATCCAGTGTTATAAATATATTTTCAAAAAAGTATCAAATTGACCCTCATACTTTGTAAGGATAGCCAATTATACCCCTGTAATTTAAGTTTCATCAAGTAAGTCCTCTTACTTTGGAATTTTCGTCAAAATCGAGTTTTTGCAGGTAACCCGCCGGTCAGCAGATTACCTGCTGACGTGGCGCACATGTAGCCTAAGACGGCGCACACGTGGCGAGCCACATCAGTTTTTTCTTTTTTCCTTTTCCTGGGAAAATCGCACTTTTAGTCCTTGAAATAGTCACGAAAATGAAATGTCGGACCCGTATTCCCAAGTTTGTAAATGTCATCCCTCAATTGTCCTAAATGCTGTAAATGTCGTCCTTTGAGGGGTGAAATCTACAATGTAGGCGAGAGTACATCTCACCCCTTAAAGGACCACATTTACATCAATTTGGACAATTGAGGGGTGAAATTTACAATATCAGAAATACGGGTCCGACATTTCATTTTCGTGACTATTTCAGGGACTAAAAATGCGATTTTCCCCCTTTTCCTTTTTTATTTTCCTTTTCTTTTTTTTTTCTTTTCCCCCTTTATTTCTTTCTCTTCACCCGCCAACCCTTCGACCCTTCTTCCCGAAGAGACTCGCCGGCATGAACAGTAGTCATCAAAAATGGAGGGTGCTCGGAAAATTAAACTAAAAATATGAGGATGTGCGCCTGTTCACGGAGACCTCCTTTACATGTTTTAATTTTTGTGACGAGACCCAGAGTCGCCGGAAAAAAGGCCGGAGATGTCCAAAAATGAGAAATTTCGACCAACTGTAAACCGGCCCCCAAATCTCGTCCCCAGCTTCTCAAAATCGATATGGAGCGTCGTTTCTTGCCAACGAACTCCAATCTAGTCTCATAAATGAATAAAAATCGCCCACATTTGAGTTATGAGCAATAATCAATTTTTCACATAAATAGTGTTTCTTGCTCTGGCCGTTAAAGGTGAAAGAAAGAAAGGGGAATGGGAGAAAGAAATAAAGAAAGTAAGATGGATATTGAGGTTTTTTTTTTTGCAAGGGAGATGAGGGGGCTGGAGTTTTTTTTGCAGGGGTTGAAGGAAGAAGACAGGGCTGGGTCTTGCGGAAGGGGAAACGGGGAAAGAGAAAAGAAAATGAAGGAAAGAAAAAGAAAAAATAAAAAGCTGATGTGGCCCGCCACGTATGCGCCATGTCAGGCCACTTGTTTGCCACGTCAACAGGTAACCTGCTGACCAGTGGGTTACCTGCTAAAAGTCGGTTTTGACGAAAATTCCAAAGTAGGAAGACTTAATTGATGAAACTTAAAGTAGAGGGGCACAATTAGGGTTGTAAACGAATCGAATAATTTTGATTCGATTCGTGATTCGAGTTCGAAAATGCCGATTCGAATTCGTGTAAGTAGAATACGAATACAAATTTGTTTTTTTATTCGAATACTTTACGAATACGAATACAAATACTATGATATTCGGTTCAAGTAATATTCGAATATATTCGAATTATATATATATATATATATATATATATATATATATATATATTCATACAATATACGGAGTATACTACTTCTTATAAATAAATATAATTCAATATAAAAATATTAATGACATAATATTCATGTAAATATTTTGCATATTTTAATTTAAACGTTCTTACTTTACTTAGTAAAAATAGCTTAATTTATGATTAAAATTCTCTATTGATTTCTTTATATTGATATTAAATTTGAAGTGACTTGTATACATATATTTTGTTTCGTATGAAATATGTAATATGAAAATGAGTTAAAAGGAGCAAACTATACATCATAATTTTAATTATTTTCACAATTGAACTTTAATTTTTTTCGAATTCGAATATTTGAATTCGATTCGAAAAATATTCGAATATATCAAACGAATCGAATACGAATATAAAATAAGATTCGAATTTTAAACGAATACGAATACGAATATTCGATAATTTTACGAATACGAATAATATTATCAAGTATTTGGTTCGATTCGATTCGTTTGCACCCCTAGGCACAATTGACTTTTCGTACAAAGTACGAGGGCCAATTTGACACTTTTCTCAAATATTTTTGTTTAATACGTTACTCCATTTAATATTAAATTTAATATATTTATATTCACAATCAATATGTATTTTAATGTAAATATATACTTTTCAGTTACCCGTTCAGTTATTTTACCAAACAGGTCTACTTCATTCAATTAGTATTTCAGATCCAACACTTCATAATTCACTTCCAGACAATAACCTTTTCTTCAAACAATAGCTAGGGATGGCAACGAGGCGGATCGGGGACAGTTTTATCTATAACCGTACCCGCCCCGTTGGTAATTCCCCCGCCCCGTAACTGCCCCATTACCCAACGGGTAATTTTTACCAAAACCATAACCGCCCTAACGGGTAACGGGTATAACCGCGGGTAATCGCTTTATTAAATGAATCATTGATATTTTAATATAAAAAATAATATTTTAAAAGGTGAAAAATAATATAAAACGACTCTATACTTATACGTCAATTTAAAGTTTCGTATATCTACATGACGAGAAAGAAGGTAATCTAGATTAATTTGAACCAAAAGAAACATAATATGAAAAATAATTAATCACGAAAAAACTGATAATAATCAATTAAGACTATTAAAATCTATTATGAGCTTTTATTTAGTAAACTATAGTCAGTACATTTATTATCTAAATATACACAATGACAGTGGCGGACCCACTAAGGGTCCCATGGGGTCCCGGGACCCCGTGGACTTCGAAAAATTTACCTATATATATTACATATATTTTGAACAATATTAAGTGGTGAATGTATATATACAACATAAGCGAATAAAGCTTCAAATTACTGCTGCAGCGGAATGGGAGCAAGCACCTGCTTAAAAACATCCTAATTCATGAAGTACTGGGGTCGAATCCCACGCTCACGTTCATTTTGTTTTGGTCTTGAAAGCTGCATTTTAGAACACTAAATGATACCGTTTTGGTCCATTTTTTTATTTTTTAAACCCCTACCAACCGCAGGGCGTAGACCACAACAAATCTATTGACATCAGCGTATCTCCCTCAGACCTCCACCACTTCTTATTAATTCATTTTTGTCTAATAAATTATAATTTTTTTATGACTTAATGTAACAAATTTATGTATTTATGAATGTTTTTTTTTTGAAAAAAGGTATTTCGGTAGTGTACCCAGATTTAAAGAAGTTCGAAGTACTCAGAGTAGTTAAAATATTAATTCCAATGATTCGCCTTTAGTAACTAAAAAATCGGATCATGTATTTGCCGAAAGTGAAACCACTTTGACCTATAATCTACATAAACAGCACGCTGATTTCATCCTAGTGTTCAAGACGAGGTATGGCGTAGTTACCTTCAAAAAGGGTCGTTTAAACCTCGGGATCATGATTTCCTTTTTAAAGTAATTGCTGCAAAAAATGTAAGTTTGTTTCAAGTTGATTTGATGAGCACAAATGGTTGGAATATAGTATTGTCAAAGATGCAACATTTTGAAATGGGTGGGAAGTTGGTGGTCATTATTTTTTGGGAATAGGATTTTCAGCATGGAATAAAAAAAGACAGGTTTTATGTACATGTTGAAAACATTAACTATGAAACGTTATGCTTCTTGATATTTTTCTTCAATTTTATATTATTAAGAGTTATATTAATTTAGGGACCCCGTGACTCTAATTTTCTGGGTCCGCCACTGCACAATGAAAATAGAAAAATATCATCTTTTACTAGTTGTGGTACAAATAATATATAAAAATGTATTAAAAATATAGCAAAAAATAAACGGGGCGGGTACGAGGCGGGTAAAGGGGCAGAAATGTATAAAATCGTAACCGCCCCGTTACCCGTAAAAACAAAACGGGTAATCCCGCACCGTACCCGTTACCCGGTCAATGCGGTTTTCCCCGCATTTACACCCAATCAAGGAGTAGAACTCTTACAAGTAATCTGGTTATTTAAGCACGGCGCTAAGGCAAATACTCAGTGACTTCAATTCTTGCATCAGCCGTACCCTTTCTATCGCTTTTCTTTCGCTTTTTTTCTATCGCTTTTCTTTCTCATCAATATGGGACGACAGGCTTTGACTTCTAAAGGCAACATTACATTCCTATTCTCACTCTTACTTTCACTTCTGTTGAGCCTTCAGTATTGCAGCTCGACGACGGACACCATTACCGTCAATCGACCTCTTAAAGATGGGGAGTTATTAATCTCTAAAGCAAAATCTTACGCTCTCGGTTTCTTCACTCCCGGCAACTCCACCGACAGACGGTACGTCGGGATTTGGTACCGGCAAATCCCCGATCAAATGGTGGTTTGGGTCGCTAACAGAAACAGCCCCGTCAACGGCACCTCCGGCGTCCTCTTCATCGACGTCACCGGAAATCTCGTCATCCAAGACTCGAGAACCAACATCTCAGTCTGGAACACCAGTCTAGATTTTCCGGCGACCCCCGCGCCGTCTAAGGCGGCCTACTCTGCCCAGATCCAAGAAACAGGGAATCTGGTCCTGTATCGCGGCGACCAGACGGCGGCATGGCAGAGCTTCGATTATCCGACGAACACATTGCTTGCCCACATGAGATTAGGAATGGACACCAAACGCGGCTCGAATCTCTCCATCACGTCATGGAAATCAGCCGATGATCCGGCCGTCGGCGACTACGCGCTCAGCGTACAGATGAAGGGGAAACCGCAGGCGTTTCTGTTTAAAGATTCGACCCGAGCATGGAGGCTCGGGTCGTGGAACGGAATCCGGTGGAGCGGCTTGCCGGAGATGACTCCAGACGCCACGCCGTACGTCTTCACGGAAAACGACGATCAGGCAACAGAGGAGTATTCGATCAAGGACCCGAATATGTACACGATCGTGATGTTAGAAGTGATTTGAATTCTCTTTAAAACGAATGTAAATAGAGCATAGAAAATCAGGACACTAAAAGAGGCATTTTTTATTGGAGGAAGAAAAACTTAAAAATCCAAAGCAAAACAAATAAAGCCTGAACAGGACCTAGTTTTTTAGCTAATCAAATATTGTGATATGGCGGTTGATAATCAATTTGACACAGCCCAGGGAACATTCAAACCTAGAACCCTAGGAATTATCTTTATATGGAACGCATACAATCTGTGCTCATAGAAAATGGTGTTACTATTCATTCTTTACTATTTCGATCACGAAATAGCCTTCTTATCAATTAAAGGAGACTAACTGTGCAAAATTTGTATGATTTTTACGTGTGACAACACAAAAATAAAAATAGGAAGGTGAGACACTATTTCTACTTCTACCTAGCAGGAAAAAAGTTTAAGTCACCTCTAAATAGTCTTTAAGAAGCCGATCATGCCCAAGTTCTTGAAACATCCTGTGAACCTCCACATTTGGATAACAGTTCCTTGAGATGATCCCAACCCTCAGAGTTCTTCAGTGAGTTTCTCAATTATAGCCCCTTTCTGGAGAAACAAAATATTAAGAAAGGTATGGAGACACAGTAAAAACTACTTACAAATCCAAACATACATCTGGATTATCAAGCAATCTTAGAGGAGAAGTATCTGAGCTGAGGTCTCTAACCACTTCATTGTAGATTTCCATTGCAGAGAACTTTAACACATGTGCTCTTTCCTCATGCTGGTAGAAAGAAATGATGTTAATGAGCAGAAAATTCATATTAGATCACAAATAGAAAAAGCACATGTTCATGAAAGACATTGAAAGAGATAATGATAACAATAAAAATATTAATAGTAATAATAAAAGCAATAACAAAAATAATAACAATAACTTACAGTTAATTCTTTTCACACCTGAAAGAGCAATATTCTTCATTCCTGCCTCATACACTTCTCTTGTTAAACAGTGGCCTCTAAATACTCTATCTGCCTCAAAAAGGAATATACAATGACAAATTAACTAACTATGTGATTGTTTTAACAGAGAAAGAAATGTGATTGTTTTAGAATAAAAACTACTCCCTCTGTCCCTAATATATCTTCGAAGTAGGTTTGGCACACAGTTTAAAATAGTGGGTATTGTGTGATGGAGAGTTGTGCAAAGGAGAGAAAAATGTGTAAGAATTGTTGTGAACCACAAATTCTTTGCCAAAAAGGGAATGTGGAAGTTTTAATTGGGACAGATGAAAAAGGAAAGGTGGAAGTTTATTTAGGGACAGAGGGAGTATTATAGAATCTGGTGTTTCAGATCATAAACTACTTTTCTGTTGAGTTCATCTTTTCTTATTGTATCATGTACTTTAGCTCTTTTATTATATTATTGATTATTAATAGGCTTGGTTCAGCTTTACCTTTTATATTTTATTCAAATAAACAGAAATAACTGAAATTAAATTCAATTTCATACTCCACCGGAGGTTAAGTACTCTACCAGAGAAGAATTGAAGTTATGATTAAAGTGATTTTAAGGAAACAACAATATACTGCATAATAATTAAAAAAAAAAGATGAAAAGTATAACAGATTTTGGTGCTCACCACATATTCTGGCGATTGGAAAGGCAGATTGTGTTGGTGTACGAGCTTAAACACATTGTCCACATACCTCTTGGAATTGGAAAGACAGAACCGTGTCGCTAGTATAATTATTCTAAAAATACAAATAATCAAAATTCATCTTTACCAATTTTGGGTAACATCTATTTTCATGGATAGATAGTGTTACTTTATACGGAGTAACTTTATCTTCTAAAGGTAATCAAACGGGCCAAGCAACTGGAGAGATTGAAACTACAATCAAATGAGGTGCAAAATACATTTAAAAAATGAAAACATTGAAAAGCATACCTTGTTGTTCCTGAACACAAGCTTAGCTGATTGGGAGATGATTTTACGCTAGTCACGATGCACTCCCATAAGCCTGAATTTACATATATGAAATAAAATTGAAGTGAATATTAGAGATATATACAATATAAGATATACATTGCAAAAGCTATGAAGTTGGAGCAATAGTTTTGTAACGCACCAAATAGGCGATGACAGTGGCGATGACCATGTTCTTTGTATCAATTGATGATGGGCGGAGGAGTACATCGTAGTAGATGAAAACCCCACCTCGAAATGAAATGAAATAGAAACAAAAGAGAAGCAAAATAGGAGAAGAAATTTTACCGGGGCAGCAGCGATACTCAGCGGATGCTGGGCAGCTTTGGCGGAAGGAATTTTGGGAACCCTACACTCTGAATTTGAAGAGCGCAAAGCAGAAACAAAAAGTTATGTATGGCACTGCAACAAAAAGAGCTAGATATTATCTAGGTTGAACAGGAACAAACAGGAACAAGCAAACGGGAACATGGAGGTTAATTTCCTACGAGCCAATCTGAGCTCCCGTCCAACATTGTTTTAACGAAAATAGGCCAACTAACCTTCTTAGAACTTTGATAGAGTATTAATTCTAGAGAGAAGTGAGAGCTAGAGAGAGAAAGTGAGTAATTATATTTCTCAACTTGGAACCCCCTATAATTAGCCCCTTGGGGTCTATTTATAGGTAAAAATGTGGATTTGGGCCCCTAGCCTTGGGCTTAGGAGGCCCATTACAATAATCATGCCTTCTTTGGGCGAAATAAGGCCACTAATGGGCTGTGTACAATACTTAGTAAATACAATGGAAAATACATTCTGCCAGGATGAAGTCCGGACGATGCGGTCCATGGACGATGCGGTCCATGGACGATGCGGTCCATGGACGATGCGGTCCATGGACGATGCGGTCCATGGACGATGCGGTCCATGGACGATGCGGTCCATGGACGACGCGGTCATTGGACGATGCGGATCCCGGACTTCGTTCATATAATCCAAGAGCTATCTCCTTCCTTGGACGTCGCGTGCCTTTGGCCGATGCGGGTGCCCCGCTGGTGTCTTTTGGGCTGTTGAGTATGTGGGCCATGGGGTCCAGGCCCATATACTCTATCAGTAGTCCCCCACTCTCTGAGCTGAGGTGAAGCCGAAGCGAAAGGGAGTACTTCGTTCCTTTCTGGCTGGCCGTTGCGTGAGCCCAAGGCGCTTGACGGCCGAAGAGTTTCTGCTTCGATTTTGGATGAAGCGGTTCCCTTATTTGATGTAGATGAAGCATGCTTGGGAATTCATATCCTTGATGCGGGCCGATGCACTCTCTGTGGAAGTGCTTTTGAAGACGAGGCGATGCGCTTTCTTTTTTGTAGATGATGTGATGAATTCTGGTGTGGATAAGTTGGCATGCTTTTTATCGTCATCTTGTTGGGGCCGAAGAGCTCCCATCTATTCTTTTGGCCGTAGCGATGACATATTTTCATGAGAAGATGGTTGATTCCGTTTATGTAGACGATGCGATGCGCGCCTTTAATTTGCCATGTAGCCGAAGCTTTTGACTTGTGGGTTCTTGCTTTGGTGAGCCGATGCAGTCCCCCCAGTGTGCGCAGCCGTCGCGCGCTAGATCTTGTATCTTGGGTTTTTAATTTTGGGCTCTGTGGCCGATGCGATCCGTAGTGCCTTCGGGGTGAATTGTTTGTTTTATCGGCGAGCCTTAGCGCATCCTTTTGCATTGAGGCCGTTGTGTTTTCTTTTCTTGTGGCCGATACGGTCCCCCAGTCCCCCACTCCTTTGGCCGAAGAGCATCTGAGGCACAAGGGAGTAATGAGCCGATCCGGTACCTATGCGTTGGTCGTGACTCCAACCCTTAGGCGAACCTGTCCAAGGTAACCCTGTGGGAGAACCCTTGGACGAAGGCCGCAATGCCAGGGTTAATTCTTTTCACACCTGAAAGAGCAATATTCTTCATTCCTGCCTCATACACTTCTCTTGTTAAACAGTGGCCTCTAAATACTCTATCTGCCTCAAAAAGGAATATACAATGACAAATTAACTAACTATGTGATTGTTTTAACAGAGAAAGAAATGTGATTGTTTTAGAATAAAAACTACTCCCTCTGTCCCTAATATATCTTCGAAGTAGGTTTGGCACACAGTTTAAAATAGTGGGTATTGTGTGATGGAGAGTTGTGCAAAGGAGAGAAAAATGTGTAAGAATTGTTGTGAACCACAAATTCTTTGCCAAAAAGGGAATGTGGAAGTTTTAATTGGGACAGATGAAAAAGGAAAGGTGGAAGTTTATTTAGGGACAGAGGGAGTATTATAGAATCTGGTGTTTCAGATCATAAACTACTTTTCTGTTGAGTTCATCTTTTCTTATTGTATCATGTACTTTAGCTCTTTTATTATATTATTGATTATTAATAGGCTTGGTTCAGCTTTACCTTTTATATTTTATTCAAATAAACAGAAATAACTGAAATTAAATTCAATTTCATACTCCACCGGAGGTTAAGTACTCTACCAGAGAAGAATTGAAGTTATGATTAAAGTGATTTTAAGGAAACAACAATATACTGCATAATAATTAAAAAAAAAAGATGAAAAGTATAACAGATTTTGGTGCTCACCACATATTCTGGCGATTGGAAAGGCAGATTGTGTTGGTGTACGAGCTTAAACACATTGTCCACATACCTCTTGGAATTGGAAAGACAGAACCGTGTCGCTAGTATAATTATTCTAAAAATACAAATAATCAAAATTCATCTTTACCAATTTTGGGTAACATCTATTTTCATGGATAGATAGTGTTACTTTATACGGAGTAACTTTATCTTCTAAAGGTAATCAAACGGGCCAAGCAACTGGAGAGATTGAAACTACAATCAAATGAGGTGCAAAATACATTTAAAAAATGAAAACATTGAAAAGCATACCTTGTTGTTCCTGAACACAAGCTTAGCTGATTGGGAGATGATTTTACGCTAGTCACGATGCACTCCCATAAGCCTGAATTTACATATATGAAATAAAATTGAAGTGAATATTAGAGATATATACAATATAAGATATACATTGCAAAAGCTATGAAGTTGGAGCAATAGTTTTGTAACGCACCAAATAGGCGATGACAGTGGCGATGACCATGTTCTTTGTATCAATTGATGATGGGCGGAGGAGTACATCGTAGTAGATGAAAACCCCACCTCGAAATGAAATGAAATAGAAACAAAAGAGAAGCAAAATAGGAGAAGAAATTTTACCGGGGCAGCAGCGATACTCAGCGGATGCTGGGCAGCTTTGGCGGAAGGAATTTTGGGAACCCTACACTCTGAATTTGAAGAGCGCAAAGCAGAAACAAAAAGTTATGTATGGCACTGCAACAAAAAGAGCTAGATATTATCTAGGTTGAACAGGAACAAACAGGAACAAGCAAACGGGAACATGGAGGTTAATTTCCTACGAGCCAATCTGAGCTCCCGTCCAACATTGTTTTAACGAAAATAGG